TTGATCGTTGAAACATGTAGCAATTTGAAAGTAATTTCTGCTGGTTAAGATAACTACCATTAATTGACAAGACACTTAAGAGGGAGTTGTTGAGGTGACAGACATTAGGAAATCAATTGACAAGACCTCTTAATTCTAAAGGTTGTTGAGGTGACTAGAATTCGCAAATTTTTTTATCTTAACAGCTAGCTTATATACACATGGCCTTGTCCGAGAACTTGGGGATTGGAACCTTGCCAATTTTAAAGGATATATTTAGGAGTTTTAGATCAAAAGATGTGATAGTAGGTTATTTTAGGAGTCTTGTTATTTCAAAAAAAAAAAAAAGTATGAGAAATCTTACATCTTATTCTAAGGTACAAAAATCTTTAGCTCCATAAATTAATTAGACAAGTCTTTTTATATAAGTGAGACAACATTTGTGAGAAGTTAGATCCGTAGTTTACCGATAGCATTTGCTTCTTGTTAATAACCAAAGAAAAGAACTTTTCGTATCTAATTTAGGAATAATATTTTACGAAAACTTTACTAAAATCTTACATAATTAAGACTATAAGATTATCATGTTGGTTATAATCTTAAACTAAACTAAAAGGTGGGATAAAACCATGATTTATATATTTTTAGATCAGGTTTTCTTTTTTTTTTTTTTGGGGGGAGGAAAATCTCTATCTAATTTGTCTTCTACTGAGACATGTCCAGCTTGCTTACGCAATATTTTTATAAGTTAGCAACTGATATCTCTCCATATTCAAATTATATCATATATTATTCCTACATAACTAATTAAGATGAAGAGAATACGAACATTCTCTACAAATTATTAATAATTTAGTTCATGCACACTGACATATCCTCATTGTAGTTACAAGCAGATCAGTTGACCTTCATGTTGTCTAGATTAAGTTGATCATCATTATAATAATTAATATGTAAATTAAGTTCCAATGAAATAATAGTTTATACAAAATGAGATTAGAAAAGGGCGTTGTACTTTCTAATTTAATAATAATTATAAATAAAATAAAAACCCATCAAATGTCATCTCTTATATATGTAAATGAGACAAAGCAGCGGTTATACGTGCCTGATTCTTGCATTTGCACCAAACAGCCAATCCATTTTTCCACGTTCTTTCCATGTTGCTGGTGAGTAACTATATATATACATATATATATATATGTATCATAATGGAAAAACATATTGAATTGATGATTTATTTATTCGAAAACCAAGTACCTCTACTTCTCTCTCTCTCTCTCTCTCTCTCTCTATATATATATATATATATATATATTATAAATGGATACAGTCTTTAACTGTTGCTATCAGCTAATATATATATATATGTATGTATATTGTAGTATTGATATCTGATCAATTGTTTGCGAGTATATAAATAATTTTCTTGAGACATATCCATAAATAATTCAATTTCGAGCTTGATTTACTTACTATGTTAATGGGCCAGAAGTTGAGATAGCATGAGATTTCTTCTGATTGACTTGATTACTTAAGTGTGTAGAATGGAATATATAGCACTGAATTAAATTTGATCTTGGATTAAGTATTACATATATAGATATATCCCTAATACACTATAGGTACATACAAATGAAATATTTTATTAATTATAACTAAATATTATAACATTGAAATCCTATAAATAGGGAACAAAAGAAGAAAAGTTGTTATATATATGTTATAATTAATCTGTCTATGAATTAATACAAGAAATATTAGTTTTGGAAGCATATAAGCCGCCAAATATATCATATAGGGTCAACGAGGCATGTGCATGGATCTGCTTCACTCACAATTAATCCATGATCTTATATATGTATGTATATATATATATATATATATACTTATATTCATGTATCTGGTAGAAAGGAGACACAACAGTTCACTTACAGCCTTTTTATTCTTCAAGAGAATCCATTATCATCACCTAATCACCGACACCAATATCTCTCTCTCTCTCTCTCTCTCTCTCTCTCTCTCTCTCTCTCTCAGCATTAATATAAAAGCTCTTGTTTTTACTGGCTCTATAATAAATATATATATATTTATGTGTTTGTGTGAGTTGACTGTATAACAGAACATTCTCATTTCAGTTTGTTTAGTATGGTAGTCATATATATTGCATATAGCATATATATGTATATGTAGGGTTTCCTGTATCTATATTTATATGTATATGTGTATATTTAATTATATTTATATATGTATTATTATTTGAAATTATTGAGTCAAATTTGATGATTGGTTTTGTTGTCCTGTTCTGGAGCTATAAATTATTGTTCATTTTACGACATTTGAAACTCGAAACTCCGAAAATTTGCTGCTTGAAAACAAATTAACTTTAACTTTCCTAATTAAAAAATTAAAGAAGACAAGAAATGATTTCCCATTGGAAAAAAAAAACGTTATATAAATATTATATACATATATATATATGTATGTATTTCCCATTGAAATATATTATTAATTTCTATTTTTTGCATTGGCTGGTTTAAGATCAGAGAAATCGAAAAAGAATCAAAATCAAAGCAGGATTTACAAGTTATGGAAGAAACTTTTTCAGAAATTGAAAAAGAATCAAAACTGAAACTAAAAAATTTAAGATGCGAAGAATAAAACAGATTTATAACGAATCTAAATAGAACTAATATTCTCGTATCAAACTAAAAAAATATATCTGAATTCATAACAAAAAAAAATTTAATAATTTTTATGTATAATAATTTATATATATAAATCTACATAATAAATTTAAAACTAAATACGTGACTTTTTTTTTAAAAAAAAAAAGAAAAGAAGAATAAATATAATATATTTAATTTTTCTAACAAATGTTTAAAACAAATAGAAAAAAAAAAGTGAGGCTACAGAAATTGGTTTGATATTTTCTTCTTCGTAAGATGAATGATTAGATAACAATAGCAGCACGACAGAACCCGCAGTACGACGTCGTACAAGGTGGGGTAAAACGTGGCTGTACAGTATGCAACAGTCCAATCTGTACATAAATAAAATATTTTATTTAGATTATATAAGTATATAATATACATATTCACGATATATAATCTATTGACATTTTATATAAATATGATGTATTTAATATGTAAAATTATTCCATTAAATTAATGGTTAAAACTAGGTAACTTATGGACAGCCTAATTTCTAAAATCATTTTATAAATTCTTGAAGTTAAGCTATTTCTAATTTCTTAGTAATCAATCAAACACATTCATTTATGAATCACTTTAATTTTTATTACAATTGTATGGTTCTTATAATGTTCTTCAATACGAAAATTCGAACTTTGCAATAACTTAACGTGGGATTAATTTAGATTTTTTTAGAATTAATATTTTATGCACTTAAAATAAATTTAATTAAATAAAATTAAGCAATTTATTACAAAGAAAAAGAAAATAATAAAATAGTGTCCGGGTTTATTACTCTTGCATAATTCCATCACAGAAGCAAACATGTGCATGAATTTAATCAAGTATTTCAAGAAAGCTAAAGATACAAGTAAATAACCAATGGGTTTGTGGTATGTACAAATTGAATTATGGAAGTTCTACTAATTTTTCTTCTTATAGATTTTACGCAATATTCATGTGACTTATTTAAGAAGCGAGGATGTTCGCCTATGCACCATAAATTTGCAACACAAAAATTGACTCCTCCACCGTTTACCTCTTATACATACATGTACATATTCACACACACACACACATATATATATATATATATATGGGCTATTAAAAGGCTTTTATTTTTTTCTTTTCTCTTTTTGACAAATTTCACTTTTACCTTAATTTTTTTTGTAAACATCCCTCGGATGATGAATACGTATAATTTAAAAATATATATATATATATATATATGAGTGATTCATATACATTATCTCTTTCTCTTTCTTTGAAACGAGAGTTCTATTAATTGATATGCTTTCACAAACAATTAAAAATTTAATTTCTTAATTTGTATCTTCAATTTTTAGCATTTTAAAAATACTCACATTTCTATTTTCATTTTATTAAAAATTTTAGCTCTATTGTTTCGTTTTTTTCTTCTATGATAATTTATTTATTTTTATAATTTTGTGTATTAAATAATAGATAACTACGTTAGTGTGAAAATAACTTTAAATATTTAGAAGGTTCTCGTATATTCTAAACATATAAAAACAATTCAGGTGCACCCATAATAATCATAAATACCTCTTTAAGTATAAATTACGAATAACTAGAAGTATCTCGAATGTTTAAATTAGTTTAAAAAATTATTATTTTTTATATTTTTAGTACTTTTAAAATATTAATAGAGATTTAAAATAATTGAGTGTTTCTAAACAATCTAAATGCTCAATTTTATTTTTTATATTTTTATGGATGTTTTAGTTATTTGAGGTATTTAAGAATTTTATTTTTAGTATTGGACAATATTTTTGAATGTTTCATATATTTAAGAGTTTTGTTTTTCATTCTAAATAATCAATAGTATTTTTATATTAAATTAAAAATTTATAGTGATATTAAGAAGTATTTACATATATACCTTATTTTATAAACATTAATTTAAATAAACAAATTTTCATCAATATCAAACACTTTTACTAAAAAGTCAAATTGTTTTTTTTTTTGTTTTAACTTCTCACTATATTGGCATTCAAAACTCATTAACAAACACGCATTAAACCACATGAAACGATAAAATATAATTTCTATGCATATATATATATATATATATTTATATGGGGTAACAGCATTAAAAATAAAATTAATTCAACAATAATAATTGAATGTTTCTTTAAAATTTAAAATAAATAAATAAATAAATTCAGTTGTTGTGGGAGGAAACATTTATTCTATATAAATAAAAATAAATAAATAAATAAAAACTCAATTTAATACAAACATGAGATACCTTATCATCCCCACTCTCTTTCCATCTTGTTCCTTTTTAAATACCTTCCTCTGCTCCAATTAATACCATCTGATCAGAAAACTAACACCTCACCACCACCCATTCGTTCAGCAAATCAAAACCCAGACGTCAGAGCTCAGGAAAAGATTAATTTTCTGTTTGTTTCTCGTCAAAAAAAGTTAGATGGGCAAGAAAATGAAGCTCCCTTCTCTGTTCAAGACCACCAAAGAAGCAGCTTGGCAATGGCCGCTCTGCAAGCAGCCCAAAACCCTTTCATTCCGAGCAGGCGACGATATCTTCAAGACAGTCAACTCAGTATTCTTCGAAGCCGGGATCGAGACACCAGACTCATGGTTCACGAACTCATCTGAGTCAGCAAGCTTCTCCACCGAGTCAGACGAGTTCGACGGTGAATCATTAGAGATGGTGGTGCGTGGAGTGATGAGATCATCTCAACGGCTGTTCTTCGAACCAGGAGGTGAGTCAAGCTCCATCTTAGGAGAATCACCATCGAAAAAAACGGCGCCGTTTGAGGAGAGCGTAGTGCTGGCTATGGAATCTGATAATCCGTACGTAGATTTCAGAAGATCAATGGAGGAGATGGTGGAGTGGCATGGATTGAAAGAGTGGGAAGGATTAGAGAAGTTACTGAGTTGGTATTTGAAGGTAAACAAGAAGAAGAATCATGGGTTTATAGTTGGTGCTTTCATTGATTTGTTTCTGACTCTTTCTTCAACCTCCGTTTCTACTTCCTATTCTTCTGCTGTTTCTTCATGGCCATCCCCTCCTTCTTGCTCCAGACAAGATCAGATGCTACTCTCAGATTAGCACCCCATACAAATATATAATTTTTAATTTGTAAATTAACTTTTGGTGAAGATTAGGGATCAGGGAGCTTAATAACATAACTATATCTATATGTATGCGTACATAGTGTATGTTTCTCTTGGGGCTAGCTCTCTCTCCCATGAGATTGATGACAGGTGATTTTGTGTATATCTTAGCTAGATTAAATGTTAATTACCATCTCACTTATATTTTAATTAAATTCATAAGTTAATTAATTATCTGATTGTAGAGAGGACTCACTCTTAAAATAAATAAATTTTATTTTGGCATAAAATCAAATTTTTATTTTCTTTGAATTGTAGAAGTTGATAATTTTCCAAAAAATCATTTCCGGTCGCTTTTTAGAAGAAACGAGAAAATAATACGTTATATAATCATAATTAAATATTATATGCATTATAGATTTATTTATACATAGTTAGGTTATAACTTTCTTTTTAAAGATAAATTTATTCTCAAACGTTTTTCTTTCTTTTCGCCAATTGCTGCTTAAAAAAAAAAAAGTTGTAATTTAAGATAATAATCATACAACTTACTAGAATAGTATTATATATTAAATTTAAGAAATAATTGAATCATTTAGTCCAATTTCACAGGAAAACCAATTTTTTTTTTCTTTTTTGTTAGATTATGTTTAAAAGTTTCTTAAATTTGGTTATATGTGACCAAATTTAACTAATATTAAAATTAGTAAGGTAGTGAATTCTTTAAAAAATCACAAAATTTCGAATTGAAAAACTTCAAATCAAACAAGAGGTGCAATTGAAATTTATTCCTAAATTAATTATTAGGTAAACAATAAGAGGTCAAACTAAAATTTATTTTAAAATTAACTATTTAAGTGGGAAAAATACTCATGGAAGGAGTAAATAAAGTAGGTCATACATGGCTTGTGATTTTGGACAACCACCACCCCATCTCATAATTTATTACGAGTGAGGGAACCTCATGAAATCTAGAAGGACAACATCACATGACAATAAATGTTTAGATATACAAATTCTCTCTTATGCATTCATCCCATATATATATATATATATGTATTCTCACTATTTACCATATGCATACATATTAAGCTTCAATTAAGTTTAGATAACTCGGTAGGAAGATGTTTTAACATATGCATGTGATAAAAGTATCAAAACTTTAATTAAACAACTTAATCTAATTATTAGTAAACAATTATTTTTATGAGCAGTTTAGTAAGTATTTACATTCTAATATTAAATATTTGAAAAATATTATTGCTAACATGATATATATATATATATATATATATTCCAGACATAATCAAATTTAATGTATAAGTTTCTGTCTTTTACCATCCATTTGACATGTAATCCTTCTTCTTAATTATGTAAACAAATTTTAGTACATCAATTGCTTTTGTAAAATTCTTTCTAATTATTCATCTACCAAAAACTAATTATAAACACAAGAATTACCTAACTCCATTCTTGACTCTCAACCATGAACTGCATTAGATGATACCAAAATTTGTGAAGTCTCTCCAATGCAAAAAAATTCTGCTACACCATTCCCAACATTTGTTCAGAAGATGCATCTTATTATGCCTATTCAATCTTTCAAAACATTTATAATATTAGTCAAACCTGATTTATAAAGACATGACTAAATTCGTATTGAAATTTTTATCTCCCTACCAAATGAACCTCTCCAATCCATGTGACTACCTAGATCTCTATCTTGGGACTTTTCTTCAAATATTATATATAAAAATAAAAATATCATCAAAATAGACCTAATCAAATCTTGAAAAACCTAATTTTTTGCATTATGCTAATCATATTCTAAACAATGTCTTAAACCAATTAAATAGCAAGGATCCATCCGCCGCAATCTCTTTTCTTTTTTTTTTTTTTACATCTATGTTATTATGAATTCATCTCTCACTGTTTGTTATTTCTATTTTTTATTTTTCAGTGTAGTCTTTTTAACTCTATTAAATTGTCTCTCGACGGTGTTGCACATATTTATATCATTTCAATAAACTCTGGCTTTCTTAAAAGAAAAAACCCATTAATCATATAAAATAAGGCAAATTACGTAATCATTCCATTAAGTTTTGACATTTATTATAATTTGCTTCCTTATATTTTTTGTTTATAATTTAGTTATTAATGTTTTCTATTTGTTTAAAATATTTATTCTTTCCATGTTTTCATGAAGAAAACTAATGTAACCATGAAGGATTAATTAAAGAGACTCTTTAATCAAGTGGATCATTGACCATGAAGGATTAATAATACAAGCCCAAAATATGTAATGAAAATGTAAAAAGATTGTTCAACTTAATTTTTTTTTATAGAGGGTCAATATAATAAATGAAATAAATCTATAGAAAAAATAAGTAATCAAAAGTTTATATATTGAATCATTATGAAATTTATAATTAATTAAAAATTTATAAGTAATCACATTGTTTTTTTTTTTTTTGTTTTTTTTTTAATATTCAGGCAGATACTAATATATATTATCATAATAAAAAGATTAGAGCCTACATCCATTTTAAACCCATTTTATACCCAAAATTAGAAATGAAAACCCAATCCCATTTAACCCAACAAATACATCTAATTTGTTTTAATTAAGCCCAACCATCCATTAAAACGTTTTTTTCTTTTTGTTTCTTCGGCCACAGAGACCCAGCTTGTTTAGTAACACCCGCTGTCAACTAAGGACAATTTGCTTCTCCATTTATGTATCTTCTAATCTGTAATGGCACTTTGAAGGGTCGATATAAGACCTTGCTTGTGCTATGTAGACTCAGCATACATCAAATTTCCTTTTCTTAATTATCTCTAATTTCTTTGGTACTTTTTTAAGTATTGTGCACTATTGACATGAGTTATGGTTTGATTTCTAACTTTGTACATTTGTTTTGTATTTTCGAAAGAATTTGAACCTTTTGTCAACGCACATATTTAGCGGCATCATAAAACATTTAGAGAGATTTGATTTCCTTGTTTGTTTGTTTCAAATTGCATTTGATTCACTAAATATTAGTCTTTAAAAAGTCTAACGACTAGTAGAATATAAACAATATGTATTTCTATGATTAAATAGTATGAATTGGGAAATTGGAAAGGAAATAAGGGATTTTGAAAACAATATGCAAAAGAACAACCCATTTTCTTCTTAAGCTTAAACTTGAATATCCTAAGGTTGAACTTATATTTGTATTATTTACTCTCCTAAGAGAGTTATTCTTCAATTCCATAGTTTAATAGTCAAGAGATCTTTAAGAAAGATGGGAAACCTCCTAAAAAATTTTTGTTATGCATTTTTAACTTGAAAAAATTCATTAACTACAGTTATTATGCTGTAGGTTTTTTTACTTGAAATAATTAATATGTAAAAAAAAATTTTACTTGAAAATGTCACTAGTTTTTTTTTAAAAATAAAAAAAACTCAGTAATTGATGCTATAATCAAATAACTTATGATAGCAGTATAAGAGATAGAAAACTCTTAAGCGAAATGTTTATAGAAAGAATATAAGGAGGTTGCAAAATCTTTATTATAATGATCTTCCTTCTCTATTGAAAAAAGAGCATTACTACACGAATAATTTCTGATAAATTTATGCAGCACTTTGTTTAAATTTTTAACTATACATCTTTCGTACAGAGTTACAAGTCATGAGACTCATAAAATTCTTTACATCACATCGTTATAATATAATTAAACCTATTTTATGAAACAAAGCTCCTAAAGTTGCTAAAGAATCATTCAAAGTCTTCATTGATCTTGAATATATTTCTGATTTGAACTAATCTGCACCGAGGGTACGTATGAATTGGGGCGAGCTTCACATGCTCAGTAAGAAAAATAAACAGTGCACAAAATAAAGATATGCACACATTCAATCATATAAGGTCGATAAAATCAATACAAATTTTATTTTAAAATAGAATCCCACATAAAAAGAAATAGAATAATAATAATTTCACATAATCAAAACTTAACGTTCCCATACATCACACACCTCACTTTCACATATCTCAATAATTTCATCATTCACACATGGTTTCTCAAACATCACAAATATTCTAAAATCACGTTCATATAAACTAATGAGTTCATAGAAATACTGCTAACTGATTTCACAACACTTACATTTACACTTTTTAATAATTTCGTACATTTATCATTGAGTCACTTATTTTTACACGTGTCAATATCACTTTCATTGCACTGTTCATTTATTACTTTTTAGTTACACTTTTATTTTCAGTTACATTGTCATTATGGTTTATAATTTTAATTTTTTTCGTTTTTAAGAATTTTATTGCACTATGCCGTTTCCGCGGGTATGGAAGATCTCTCATCAATGAAGACATAAAGATCTCATCTACCATGTGGATACATCATTTATCACTTATCACTTGTCACTTATCATTTATTACTTCTTCAATGTATCCGAACACGAAACAATTATGCATTGGGTATCACTTATTAATTTTCACATACATCCAAACACGAAACGATTATATATAAGATTTTTCAACCATGTCTGACTGAGGTTGTATCCACAAGTAGGATTCACCACACTTCACTTGCCAAAATGGTCACACACACACACACATACTCCCCTTTTTGATACATGTTAAATAGATTTCCATATCTTTTAAATATTCTTGTATTATTTTTTTACTAATCAAATCCATTACTATATCATCTACTCATGCATGCACTTGCATATATATTATCCATAAATATGCCTACATAGTAAGTATAACATACATTTTGCACGCACAATCACACACTTAAATATATACATATATATATATACACGCACATAACCTATATACACTTGCATATTTACACAAGGCATATATGTATTCCACAAGGTATGTAGATACAAGTTGTTTACTCACACGTATTAACAATATAAATACATACTTCATATAATTATATATATATATATATTTATATATGCGTCATGCACATATACAACTCAGTAAACTGACATGTATAAGTTCTACATATATACAAGTAGCAATATGCATACATAAATATAAATCATACACATCATCATATAACTCTCAAATCACATGCAATTCCATGCACATACATAATGAGTTTACGAAAATCACATTAGAAAACTTAAATAATCTGTAAAATCCTTAAATAATTTATTTTAATAGAAAATAAAATTTTATAAAAGTATAAAAGTTTCTGAATGAGACTAACCAAATTCCTTACTTAAAATATGATCGGAGAGATTTCAAAATCCTTATTTGTTCGAATCTACATCTTCTCCATACCTCAGTTACTACCTAACTATTTTTCTTGTTTACAAACAGAAAACACAGGTGTTAAATGATAAATAGTTTCGAAAATAGATACATACAAAGCAGATAGATTTTTACCTAAGCATGCCAGCCTGCTCAATT